CATTTGTTATAATTATAATTCTGATTATTAGCAACTTGATTTATGCTCCACATCATAGGAAAGAATGATTAAAGTTGATATATCTTAAATGCATGAAGTTAGTTAAACAAAATACGTGTTCTTCCGTTAAACTCTCATGGCTTGATTTTTTCCTCACACTTTTATTTATGAAAACATGGGATTAGTCCTGATTCTCAACCAAGTGAGAGGAGAATTAGGAACTGAGTTTATTGACGGAGTCAGTTTTCAATCCACAATGTTCGGAGGAAGTTAGAGTGAATAGTGCCTAGTTCTCATAACATTAGTTTTGTTTTTCAGCATTGATACTCTGGTCACAGTATGTCGTTCTGCTTGTAGACATAGCGGGTGCGTCCACACATGCAAGCACATGCATTTGCAGCAGCTCAAATAGAAGTGGTGCAAATTTGAGCTGGTGCTTTTTGCCTCAGCGCAGGTGCTCAGACATGCACTTTGTTATGGAGCAAATTGTGCCACATGGGGCAAAATAACCCTGCCTGGCTCTTCCCGGATCTGCAGCCAGGGGGAGCTAGAGCCTGGGGCCATCACCTGTGCTGTCCCCAGCAGTATAAAAAGCTGTCCTGTCCTGGCCCCAGCAGTACAAAAACCTGCCCTGGCAAGCAGCTCAGGGCTACTCGCTCTCTGGAGCTTCTGGGGTTCAGCCACTTGGTACCTGGGGACACTTCCCCTTGTGCCAGCTGGACTGCTGCAGCAGCATCCCAAATCCATTTTTAAAAATATCCCCAAATCCATGTTTTTCCACACTTAACACAAAAGACCACTCTGCACATGCGCATGTGCACACGCTATCATCATGATACAATAAATTCTAAATACCTATATGTGTTGATATGTACTTTTGGTTTTCTTTGCACATGATGGGTGTGTGATAGGGGAAGGTGGTGTTTGCAGGAAGGGGGTGGGACGGGCTGTTGGGGAATGTGGGTGGGTGTGTGGAGTGATGTGGGTTGGTTTGTGAGTAGGTATGGGGTGATTGCTGGGGGGACTGGGTGTGGGGGACCTTGTGGGGGCACTGCTCAGGAGGGGTGGGTCCCCTGGCCCCCACAGGGTGCAGTCCTCCCCCCCACAGCACATGGAATGCCCCTCCTCACAGGGCCCCGCTGGAGGGTCACAGCCCCCCCTCCCAGGGCCCATAACTTATTTTTAGCAGCAGCAGGCGTGGGGCACTCTGAGCCATGGCGGCAAGACCTGGGGCAGCACGTGGGAACTGCGCACCAGGCCTAGCCGGGTCCTGGGGCCTCTTCTGTTGGGCCAGGCCCTTGGTGGCAGAACCTGGTGCAGCGCGCGGGGACTGTGTGCCAGGACCAGCTGGGTCCTACCGGCCCTGGGGTCCCTCTGCCACCCAGCTGGGCTGGGCCCTTGGTGACAGGACCCAGCGCGGCACGCGGGGACCGGGGCCCAGCTGGGTCCTGCCGGCCCTGGGGTCCCTCTGTCTCCCAGCCGGGCCGGGTCCTTGGTGGCAGGACCCAGTGGCTGGGGGAGCAGGCAGGGCTGGCGGGGGGCCCCCCATGGTACTCTCCCCCCTCCTCCAGCCCCCCACCCACTTACTGGCATTGGAGCCCTGGCAAGGCGAGGGGCCAACCAGAAGCGAGGGGCAAAGGGCGAGGGGCCAACCATGGAGATGCTCTGGCAGCCAGAGCATCTCCCTGGAGGACCCAGCGTCCAGTTGCCTCAGGGCATGCTCCAGGGCTGTGTCCTGTTCTGCTATTTTTTGTTTCTTTTTGTTTTTAGACCCCTGGATATCCAGGGGTCTAATTTTCTCCCTGCGTTGCAAGTTTGAGGCAGGGCAAGAGGCACGTGCACGCTCGTCTGGACGCACCCAGCAAAATTTAATGAGGAAACACTGAATTGGCTGACATCCTTCCTTTCTAGCTGTATTACAAATAATAATGGGAAACTTGTCTTTTAAGAGATCTCTCACCATTCTGTAACCAATGTTTATTTTGTTCTTTGCTGATGGCAAAGCCATTAGGGCGATCATAAGACAATGTTCCCAGATGTTACCAATATGCATGTGATGCTCTGCTTGATATCTCCCTTCCAATAACTGTCCTTGTACTTTGCTACTGTTAGCATGTGGATGGCTGAGGTGGTTGGCTGAATTTAAATCATGGTGAAGATTGCTTTATTGGAAATGGGGAATATTTTGAAAAGCTAGAAAGTAGTGTCTCAGATTGCCAAATTTCTTCATGGTCTGAGAATTTACCTAACTTTTTCTGAACACACACTTTGCTATATTTGCCACAGATGCTATCTTCTCTCTGCAGCTGGCAGGAACTCTGGACCCCTTACTATCACTGACATGGTATGTAGCAATAACAGTAGCTTTATGTCTTTGTAACTTCCAGATTGGATTACTAAAACTTGCCCTATTTAGAAATTAGTGTGCTAAAATTAAAGCTCCTTCCTGTATAAAATATGGCAACCCAGGTCCTCAGCAACAGCATCTGGTGGTCCAAATCTGCCTGGTTTTCTGCTTGGGACTTCGCTTCCATGCTGATGGTTGACAGGTATTATCTTGAAATCTTAAAGCACTTCGTATATTGAACTTAGTTATCTAAAAGCATGTCTGGCTAAGATGCTGTAATTTCCTTTGAGTTGCGTTTCACAGGAAAGATGAAATTGCCAATGAGACTGGCTTGTGAGTGGAGAATATACTTTTCTTGGTATCTGTGCCAAGACTTTTGCCTTCTAGAAGAGGTAAGGATGTCCACAGAGCTCACTGCCTTAAGTACAGGAGCCTCCTTTAGCTTGCTTTACGTCAGCAGCAACTGAGGGGAAAAGAAAGTGGCTGCTTCTAAGTTTCACACACATGCAAACATCAAGAATAATTCTAGCAAGCTCTCAGAAAGGTGAAAAAATCTAGTACAGCTATTGACTTCATTCTTGCTTTTAGTTTATTTTGGTAGGTGCTCAGTATTGTAGTGATAAGAACCTGAATGAACAAAAATCATGTGATGATTTTTCTATCTTGTTTTGATACTCCATTATGGTCTAATTTTCCTGCAATAGCTACACGTTTGGTATTTGTATTTCCCTCAATTTAGGGTATGTTAGAACTAATTATAATCACTTTAACATGAGTTATTGCAGTTTTATGACCAAAATCACTAAGGCTGCTGACACCTGAAAAAAAAATGCTTTCCCAGAAGAAGCAGTGCATTAGTTCAGTCCAGCTCCCCAGTGTCTAAATAGATCAGGCACTTGAGCAGGGCTTTTTGGTGCTTTCATCTAAAACTGATTCAATCAGCTATTAGATAAAAGTGCCAAAAAAGCCCTGCTAAAGCTCCTGATCGATAAGGACATTGGGGAGCTGGGTTGAACTGATGTGGTACCCCTTCGGGCATGTGCTGGGCTTGGCGCAGGGGTCCCTGGGGTTTAAAGTAATGTGCCATTGTTTGGTGGGGGGTTTTTATGTCTGTAAGTAGCCTAAAGCAATCAGTTGTTGGGGAAGATGCTATCAGGAAATAAAGCTTTAAGTGGATGTTTAGTTCTCCATGATTTTATTTTAAGGAAAGTTGTTTCATTAAATCTTTGAAGGAATGTATTAGAAAAAAAATCTTTAAAACAATCAGTACCTAACTAGAAAAATGCTGTAAGGCAGAAGTGTCCAGTATACAGCCCATGGACTGGATGCAGTCTGCAGACCTGGGTCATCTAGCCAGTGGACTTTTGCCCAGCCTCTGGTCGCAGTGGTGGCATTTTGCATGGTGGCCGCCAACACCCTGGGGAGAACAATGCCACGGTCAGCAACGCTTCTGACATGGACAGAGCCCCAGCTCTGGTCACAGTGGAGGGCCTTTTGTCTCTGGTGTCAATAGAGCTTTCCGTGCCCCTGCAAAGGCCTGGGGTCTGGTTATGGCCACGGTGATCTCTGGCTGCAGTGGTGGAGCCTCTGACCATCGTGCTTCTGGGGCTGCCTGTGCCCCAGCAAAAGCTGAGGTAGTGGCAGCTGCCAGGAGCCCTACCCCTTTAGCCCGAGCCCTCGCTCTGGCTGGTGGGGGAGCGGGTC